TTTCTCTTGATCTTCTAAACCTGACCCCAAAACTATTCCTTATTAGAAAGATGCAAGGTTTAGTAAAGTTTCAACCACAACAAAGAGCACCCTTTATTCTACCAGATTACGCAGCCATAAATTAACATCCAGGAAAAATTCTGAACAGGAAAACAAAGCTTGAGACCAAATACATTCTCAAATTATACTTAAATATCCCAAAAGGTCAAAGTTAGACTGGATATTATAGCATCAATTTCTACAGGTGCATACATAACAAGGAACAGTCTTATACAAAATATTGTTTCCCTTTTTCACCTTCCCAGTTAGAAAAACAAGTATTTTCAGTTGTTCTCACAAAGTCTTAAACAAAATAAAGTATCAGGTACTTCTAAAGCCTTCAGTACTTCATCTTCTTAACAAATCATACTAAAGGTATACCACAGAAGATGCACTTTCCAGAGTTTTCTAAATTACACCTTATTCAGGAGATTAAGGACAAAACACCTCATGCAAGAACCTTCCATGCACACACAACTATACTAACAGATAGGATGACTCAAAATACAAGACATACTAAATCAAGATGCATGACTTGGTCTAAGACTGGCAAATCCTATGCTACGCTACCAGACTGATACCATATAGAGGACAGAACGATAATTTTAGAATTAGACTTGATTTCCATCCCCAGCATGTCCTGAGATCAGATTCTTTGAACGTTCTAATTACTAACCCCCTTTGTCCCTCTTTCACTGAGTCCAACATAACTTCTGCATCGGTTACTTTGCTTGGAAGCTATCCACAGAACTAATTTTGACATTTGGTAGTTCACAGTGTTTCATACATGCTTAGTGCAAATATTTTCAACCTCTTCTTGGGCCGAGGCTTTGAAACAAGAATTTGAACGCAGTTCAAAACAAATGATACTCACTACTTTCCTGGGAGCTTCATCTTCAGGTTCTAATTTCCTCTTTTTTGCTCTGTTGTCCTGATTATCACTAGTAATTTTTTTTTCATTTTCAACGGCGCGCCCTGTACCTGAAGTTGAGCTACTGCCTTCCAAATTGACGCCTGAATCTTCCTCTAAAGTATGAGATGTTCTCTCTGCTTCTTCACTCAAACTCTTCTCAACTTCTTGCTCCTCTATCTTGGTTAAATCAGCCATTTTTTTGGCGGGTCAATCTCCTCGTTCATTGATCAGAACAGAAATCTACAGAGAAGAAAAAATACTGTTTTCAGTGTTGAATTCAACTTACTCTCAGTTACAGTAATGATTTTTCAATCATAATAATACCATTATGAAAAAACAAGGTATGCAATAATTAACATATATCACATAGACTTCAAATTTAACTAGTTTTTTTAATAAAGAGAGCTGAATAAAATACATGGAATTTCAAAGTACTCTCATTATAATAAGATCAATGAAGATACAGCTCTGTTCTTCATGTCTGAGTCTCTCATAGCTATCTTTATTCATTCACCTGCAAAGCCTTTTGTCTTTTCTAGTTTGCAATCTCCCTCCTTTCCCCCTCCACAGTAAAATGTAACCTACAAATCACTCTGTTTAGAAGGAGAAGCTGATAAAATACTTCAAGCTAATTTTTTAAGCTGGTATGTTTTCAAAGGGATGCTCTTAAACAAACAAACAAACAGGAAAAAAAAAATCAAGATGCAAATTTGCATATCAATTCTGGATTTTTAAGTTTGCCAGGAATAACCGCTATGCCTCAAGCTTCACTAATATTCTTTACGTGTAACTGTATTTCTGATTCTCCACTTTACAAACATCTCTATGGTCAGTATGGCACCAAACCACTAGTATGGAGCTCATCTAGGCTCTAGCACATCCCAGCCTTCTTCCGACCATGAGGAGGGAGCAGAACACCTCCTTTTCAGCAGGGCACAGGAAGGGATAATTTAGCAATTCCATTCATAAAACAGTAGCCTATTTCTGCCTAATGAAACACATGCTTGTTTCACTGTCTTCAGGCCTATGCCTACCAACAAGGGCCACAGGACATCTGTTAAGCGGGTCACCATAAACAGACCTCAGAAAGGCTTTCCTAAAAATGCACCACCTTTAAGTAAAATTCATATAAGTATTTTTTACTATAACACTGTATCTATTTCTAATGCTTTCCAAAAAACACATCATTCCTTATCCTCACTGAGTTGCTCCAAGCGTTATACCAGCCGCTTTTCAAGCTTAAGCGCAGAAACAAGCAACATTTTTAAAAATGACAACAAAAATCCAAGTACCCACGGGGCTGCATCACGCTCCATCAGAAGAAAAGC